TCCCTGTGATGGAGGCAGCCCAGCCAAGCATTCACTGGGCCTACGTCAGGGTACACGTGAGTCTTGTCAGAACGTCCTAGGGTGAGTTACCTACTGTGGGAAGTGTATTCATTCAGGTGTGTCCGAGAGTCAGTGTCAAGTAACGTAAAGCATGATGTGTTAGTACCCCGATATAATAGTGATATTAATGTGTCCATGTCATTGAGTGAAGTAATAAATAGTTGTATCAAGAGGTGTTTAACAAGTTGTCCCTTTAAGAAGTGATATACGTGTATTGACATACGAGATAAGATAAGCGTAGTGACGCTGTGCAAATAACATCCAGGCCACGCTACCAAGTTTCCTATCTTTACATTCCTATACTCTATACTCTCTCCTATATATATATATCTTCCTCTTCTCTGTTTATTCTGTCTCATTACATTAGCAAGGGATCTCTGGAGTTAAACCAGCTGTCTGGATGCACTAACGACGTGGGACTATCGTCTGCCCTTGGTTGACGATCGTTTGGGGTCGCCAGATCTCTTCTACCTCGGCTCACAATATCACATATCTTCAAGCAGTTAGTGAAAACCTTTTACTACGAGAAGCTAAAGCTTCTCTCAACTGAACAAGGTCTGATTGGCTCACTCCCTTCCGTTTCATGGGTGTACTGAGTGTAAAATGAGGCCAGCTGAGTGAATGAATGGTCACACACTGAGACCAGGAGTCTAGTGGAACTTAAAGGTACATTTTCCAAGGTTGAGAAAAGCTTGTTTGGGCCTTTAACTATGGATGCCTGTTGGTTGTGCCTTAAAAAACTACCGGTGCATGTGGAATCTATGTGTTAGGTTAGAGAGCATGTTTACGGGTATTGGTGGACTCAGTAACTTCTTAATATAGTGATAATATTTTTTCAATGTCTGATATTGTCTTGCTGTGTGTAGTTAATATCTCTTAAATAATTTTTATATTATTGTTTTTTATGTTTGTGTCACTAATTGATGCCAGAGAATGAGGGAACTGTTTTTCAGGTGAGGTTCCTCCTTTCTGTTGTAAGTGTAACTGTGATTTAGTTCCTTTAATGCAGTTAATATTTCTTTATAATTTCTTATTTTATATACCATTTCCTCAGTGATTGATATTATTTTGTTGAAAACCCTTAAGGCCTGCATCTGTTGGTAACATAATTTTATTGAGTGCCCTTTAGGCCTATTCATGGTGGAGTTAATAATTTCTTATTTTTTATACCATTTTCTCAGTGATTGATATCATTTTGTTGAAAGCCCTTAAGGCCTGTTCATGTGTGCATACAACATATTCTTAATACTTTGAATTTATTGTTGTCTAATGAGGCATTTTCTAAGTTTCTAATAATTTCAATATCATGTATAACTTTTATTCCCCAGAGTAGTGTTTTAAGTTCAGGTTAAGAGGTGTGCATATGTTGGTGTACCATTATTTGATTGTGTCTGTAGTATTGGAGGGAATATAAGTGTCTAAATTTTACAGTGCGTCTCATTTACCCCAATCACAGATGCTATCCTTCCACGGGTCACGGAGAATTCATTTTTGTTAGTAAATTTAAGTGTTTGTGCTGGTTCGGGTTTTTTCTCCAATGGGTGCTTCCACTGCAATTACCATCTAATAATAATTAATAAACCCCAAGTCAAGTGAGAAATAAATTCCATTAATTCCGACCAGTTACATATAGGATCTTCGTACAAGTCCAAGGAGTTAATGTATTTGTATAATTCACCTTTCATATGTCCGAGAAATTAAGACTGTGTGTAAGTCGATCCTCGAGGTAGTAAATCCTCTCTGAAGCGATATACTCGAAACAAAATATCCACTATCTTATGACGTCATTATATTGTATCTGGAGGCTGTAACTCACAAGACATTCGAAGCTCTTGTAACGGAATAAACCCCGGCGGACATAGAGAGCATATTTCCACATTATATAAACAGTATATGCTTCCAAGCTATGATAACATGTACTTCTACTTTTATGCTCTTCACCACTGATCTGCTGGTTAGCCGTTTGGGCGGTCGGTCACGTCTGTTATACAGTGGTGGCAAGTACTGGGCATGTATTTGTACCTGCGCCAGTATTGGTCAAGTTTCTTGAATGAGCTCACACTCGATGTCGTCACAACACCCTCTGGAAGATTGTTCTGAGAGTTTACACTTCTCACTCCGACAATTTTTTTTGAACTTGCGGCTTCTTCAACCTTAAGCTGTGACCCCCTATATTGTGTGGCGGGTATCTGCCCACGGGGGTCGATAGGCACTGGCAAGTGGGGCACGTGCCTCGAACCAAATCAAGATCAATGAAGTAAGACATGCAGGGGGCAGTTAGGTTGACATTAAAGAGTACTGTATGGTCTTTGGTGATGCCCTTGCATCCGCCTGCTCCAGGTACCAATATGAACACTCTTCTGAGTACTATGACTTCGTAGGTGTTTATAGACCAATTAAATCACCTCTTGCCCACTTATAAGCTAGGCAATGCAGGCCATCAGCTATTTTATCAGAGAATACTGCAGAAAATAGGTTTCATATATTATTTCAGAGGAAAATAATTTTAAAAGATAAAATCTAATAAGTTAAAAATTATAATTTTCATATTTGGTCTCTTTAATAATAATAATAATAATAATAATAATAATAATAATAATAATAATAATAATAATAATAATTAAAATTGTCAATCAAATTTACAGTTCAGCATGAGTAATATACAACGTGGCCGTACTGTATATCCTTTGCCAAACATTTATGCCACGTCGGAGACGTCTTGTTTTTCATTTAGGTTTAAGGAAGTAATGGGCCTCGCAACTCCTCTAGTACCCAACTCTGTGTGTTATCTATATTAGCCCTTACACCCACCTGACAGGCAAACTTGTGCTCTGTCCTCCTGTTGTTTTTACGTTGGTGTCCTTAAAATTCTTGTTGCATTTTGATTTATTTCTTCGTGTTTATCTTCAGCCTACCATTTATGTTCTTAGTGTGCAATGTTTAGCCAATTTCTATGTTTACGTTTTTAATTGCTCCTATGTTGATTTCCCTATGTATGGCTTATTAAATATTTTGTTCTAATATTGCCTGTGAAGTTCATGGTTTGTAGTGCAGTACGAGCAGTATATGTTATAGGTATATTGATGTTTGTTGCAGCAATTGTATGGTTTTTCATATTTTCTTCTCATAAAACTACGGACAGATGGAACCGGTTGTTTCACAGTATGTATTCAAGTGTGTGTATGTGTTTCTGACGGTGACACATAACCAGGTTAGCCAGAAAGGACTGGCAGAAACTGTACATATGCCGTGCAGGCATACAATTTTCAATGTACATATCTAAACAAAGTACAGTGCACCTATACTCGTACAACCAAAGTAAATAGTAAAGCAATTCGACCACGTTTGTGGCATATTTCAGAGCGAGCCGGAGCCCAGAGATAATCGAATGACTAGTCTCGGTACCCCCGAGAGGGGCGAAGATGATAAATTACAAAAAACAGTTTGTCTTAAATATGGATAATTTTTACACATTTCTTAGGCATCCCTTTATAATTACTATGCACATACCAATTATTATAAAAATCATTCACAAGTAATCAAAAGTAACACAGTGATCGCCTTACCTGTGTTGCCCCCTCGATTCGTCACGTCACAACAACTGAGAAACCTGAAGACCTTGAACGACAGTCACTGACAGGGTGACCAGATTTTTCTAGACGGGAAAATGCTAGATTTGCCTCCCAAAATGCCATATTATCCATGTATTAAATACATGGATAATCATCTTAAAATGATTTCTTATTACTTGTTTCCTCGTTAAGCTTTGAAATTCATTGTGTGGAAATGACATAGGGGAAGTGCAATATGAGTTGCCAAGTATGTAATTTAAGTTGCGTGTTTGAGATTTTGTAAGTGATATAAGTCACTTCTGGGTGTTTTGTCGTCTAATTTCTCACGTATAACTCGCCGGTGTCTGTCTGTCTGTTATAGATCACTGACTTTTTTGCTTTGAAATTTTGCTTGACAAACAATACACTTCGCTCTGTTCCTGTCCTCTATTTTCAACCACTGCATATTTTCAGATCTACACAAACATTCTAACGAAAATTTTGACTGTAGGTCTTATGTGGAATGAATGACCTTTCTCCTGTTTAGGATTGCAGATACCTTATAGCCAGAATCCTTCTGGGACACATTTGCATACCGAGAGTTACACACAATTTCTATAATTATGCTAAAAATATGCTAGATTTTTCAAAATGACTGATTTTATGCTAAATCAACGAAAATGATACAGATAATGTTCAATCTGGCCAGTCTGCGGAACAACCACTTACAATTATCGTCCAACTACTATACTGTACACTTGTTTTTACCTTTATCCCTTGACCAAAACATAAACGAATCAACCTAAAACCAAAACACAAGAAAGGCAGCACCATCATTTCAAAACAAGACATAAAATTTTTCTTTCCTTAACTGGCCATATGTAGTTGTTACTGTTAAACTTTCGTTTTCTTTTAGAATTGCCTTGTGATACTCAAATCACAGAAAACAAAATTATGAGATGGGACCCTAAAGAAATGGCATTCTGTAGGTACGGATGTCCCAAAACAATGCCTAAATTTGCATTGATTATACTATATATATATATATATATATATATATATATATATATATATATATATATATATATATATATATATATATATATATATATATATATATATATATATATATATATATATATATATTCGTCATAGTAAAGGTGTTAACTCTTTAGAGGGCAAAGCATCGCTTAGATATTTTATTCTGGTTAACGCCAAACGATTTTATGCAGCGCAGAGGTTAAGTATCAAGGAGGGAATCCAATCCTTCAGTCCAGCCAGATAATGAACCAATGGTCAGTCTCTTTTTACATAGCGGTCTCTCAAACTACGCAGTCATCCAGTATATTTAATATTTAACATTATTTTGGGATAAAAAAATAAATATAATATAATGCTATAATTTATTACTAATATTTCATGGTAAAAGAATCAAAATTATTTAATGATATCAATTACAATGAAGGTGATGATAACATTAAAGAAACCTTTTAACCAATGTGTACCACTCACTGTGTGACTGTCAGGTACAGTCAGTGGCCAGCACAGCATTTCACCCACTTAAAACTTGTGTAATTGCTTATATATATATATATATATATATATATATATATATATATATATATATATATATATATATATATATATATATATATATATATATATATATATATATATATATATATATATATATATATACACTTACATTTAATTTTTTTATAAGAAGTTGAAGTTGAAGGAAGAAAAGAGATGAGCGGCAGAAAGGGAGAAATAAATTGGCTGATGGAATACAGTAAAAGGATAACACAGGAATTTTAAAGTATTTAGAAATGGAAACAAGAACATACTACTGTATAGAGGACTTACGAAAACAGTGAGAACAAGGAGAAAAAAGTAGCAACAGCAGAAGAGGAGAAATATTGGAGAGAGACAGAGAGATAACTACCTGATCTCGGATTCTCAAAGGTTCATTTGTTAAATTTTCCCAGCACCTGGAGACATAAGAACACATACAAACAATTCACTAAATTTCCAATACAAAACTAACATCCAAAACAGCATCAAAATTGCACTAACACTCTCTTATAACTAGGTGCGTTCTCTTATCTTAGTCTATGGGAAAATTAACTTGAGTCATTGACAGTCCAGATCCTGGACTGTACTACCAAATATACAGTACACTATGGGGCAAGGAGGGGTTAACGGGGGCAACTGGTGGTGGATTACTTATTAAACAGGGAGTAGGAGAGGGTTGAGGTACAGGTGGTGGGAACCTCCATACTGCACCACTGACAGTATACATGATGGTATACAAGGGGGAATATACACAAGGTCAGAAGCAAGGGTTGTGGTGTTTTGTGGGTACCGGGTCCTGGATGATCTTATAAATACATAATTTAAATATGTTTTCATGTCTGATTCTTCACTTGCTCATTGGTACCCACAAAGTTTGTGCGAGCTATTCTTATATCTACATGCCTGGTGAGACAAGACACCGCTGAGCGAGGGGGCGGTGTGAAATGTTACCTATCTACAACACAGAAGGAGCCCTGGTCGAGCTATCAGGGGGATGGTAGGGGCATTTGTTTTCTTCTTACTCCAACATAAACTACACAATCTCTGGCATTAGTGTGGTGCGATGTATTCCACACATATACATGAACACACTACTGCTAAAGACTGTCAATATTTCAACTGATGTAAACGATATGAACAGAGTATGAGTGGTTAATGCAGTGTTGAGGGTCCCTCTTGCCTGGAGCCAGCTGAGGAATGGTCAAGCCAACATTGCACACACCTTACAGACGACTATTCTTGTATAGACAAACACTTGATTATCTGTTCAACAAATGAGACTAGGAATAACACTGGCCTATTTACATCTCAGGGTTCTATAATCCACTGTAGTATTTATGCTAACAAATAATATTTTATAACAAAGTGAAAAGTTGTCTTCTAATTAAAAACAATAAATCACGTTCGTTTTAAATTTGTTTTTAAAGTTTTGAGGGTTTGAGTGGGTCAGATCTGGCAGAGTATGATTATCTTGGTAAGTACTGGCCTTCTAAACATACTGGCATCAGGACACTGGTATCAAATAATGTGTACAAATTACAGATGGAACAAGTAGTACCGTGTTCATATAGTTTGACTTTCTAACCACATACATAATGAAGCCAGATCTAAATCCAAAACATATGTGATGAAATCTAAAAAAATACACCTCTTTGCAGCGGAATCGAGATAGATTTCCCACATTATCCAACACCGGCGTAGCACTTGGACCCAGACGGCCAGTGACCATCCATTCACCACCCACATCCTCCACCTCCTCCACACTCCTACATAAAGTTCTTCCTACTGGTATCATTTCCTGAACACTTCACCAGCACATTCCTGGATTTAGTTTATGAACTATTTACAAAGTTCCTTAGCTCTCTGATTGTAATATCACACATCCATTAGAATAAGACGAAATCTAAACCAATTCAATCATTTGACCTTCATTATAATGTTATTCTCTTGGTGTTTTTTTTTTTTTTAGAATAGACTGAGATTTTCCCTTCATTAGGTAGCCAGCCATGGTGGCAGCAGCAACTGCAACTCCTAACAACAGTGTCAATCTTATAGGGGCGAGTGAGTCAACTGTTAGATGTGTCAACTCTTGTAATGCAGGAGGTGGACTCTGCTATCTCTGAGTGGCAGCCAAAGATTGAGAAGGTGGAGGAAGAATGGGGATGGGTAGAGTAGCGGTGGTGGTGAAGGTGAACAAACAGTTAATTAAGGCCTCTACATGCTCATCATGAGGACGGCCATAGACGTCATGAAGTAGAGTACAAGCCCCATCTTTTTCATGGCAGCAGAGTCCCCGGCACTCTGAGCAGCCACCAGAACCTGTGAACAAAAACACACTTAGTAAAGCAAGAAGGGCACAAACCTAAACCTTACAATAACCAAAATAAAACCAAGAATATATGCTGTGCCAGAAAAATATCTAACACTGCATTGTTAAAGTTCAACTGTAAACTTAGAAACTTACAAAAGTTATTGCTAACAACTAAATAATCTGCATTAATTCCTTCTAGAGGTACATTTACATTTACCAGCTTTTCATTCAGCAATTTCTTATGTAACCCAACCCATCAGACAACCACTACACTACCCCAACCCATCAGTCTACCACTACACTACCCCAACCCATCAGTCAACCACTACACTACCCCAACCCATCAGTCTACCACTACACTACCCCAACCCATCAGTCAACCACTACACTACCCAAACCCATCAGTTTACCACTACACTACCCCAACCCATCAGTCAACCACTACACTACCCCAACTCATCAGTCAACCACTACACTACCCCAACCCATCAGTCTGCCATTAAACTACCAACCTATCAGTCAACCACTACACTACCCAAACCCATCAGTTTACCACTACACTACCCCAACCCATCGTCCCATACACTACCAACCCATCGTCAACCACTACACTACCCCAGCCCATCAGTCTACCAATACACTACCCCAACCCATCAGTCAACCATTACACTACCCCCCCCAACCCACAGTTTACTCACCACTACACTACCCCAACCCATCAGTTTACCACTACACTACCCAACCCATCAGTCAACCACTACACTACCCCAACCCATCAGTTTACCACTACACTACCCTAACTCATCAGTTTACCACTACACTACCCAAACTCATCAGTCTACCACTACACTACACCAACCCATCATTCAACCACTACACTACCCCAACCCATCAGTTTACCACTACACTACTCCCATCAATCAACCACTACACTACCCCAACTCATCAGTCTACCACTACACTACCCCAACCCATCAATCAACCACTACACTACCCCAACTAATCAGTTTACCACTACACTACCCCAACCCATCAGTTTACCACTACACTACCCCAACCCATCAGTCAACCACTACACTACCCCAACCCATCAGTCTACCACTACACTGCCCCCATCAGTCAACCACTACCTACCCCAACCCATCAGTTTACTACACTACCCCAACCCATCAGCCACTACACTACCCCAACCCATCAGTCAACCACTACACTACCCCAACCCATCAGTTTACCACTACACTACCCCAACCCATCAGTCAACCACTTCACTACCCCCAACCCATCAGGTACACTACCCAACCCATCAGTCTACCACTACACTACCCCCAAACCCATCAGTCAACCACTACACTACCCAAACCCATCAGTTTACCACTACACTACCCCAACCCATCAGTCAACCACTACACTACCCCAACCCATCAGTCAACCACTACACTACCCCAACCCATCAGTCTACCACTACATTACCCCAACCCATCAGTCTACCACTACACTACCCCAACACATTAGCCTACCACTACACTACCCCAACCCATCAGTCTACCACTACACTACCCCAACCCATCAGTCAACCACTACATTACCCCAACCCATCAGTCTACCACTACACTACCCCAACACATTAGCCTACCACTACACTACCCCATTCCATCATTCTACCACTACACTACCCCATCCAGTCCAACCACTACATTACCCCAACCCATCAGTCACACTACACTACCCCCAACACATTAGCTACCACTACACTATCCAACCCATCAGTCAACCACCACTACCCCAACCCATCAGTTTACCACTACACTACCCCAACTCATCAGTTTACCACTACACTACCCAAACTCATCAGTCTACCACTACATTACTAACCCATCATTCAACCACTACACTACCCCAACCCATCACTTTGCCACTACACTACCCCAACTCATCAGTCTACCACTACACTACCCCAACACATCAATCAACCACTACACTACCCTAACCCATCAGTCAACCACTACACTACCCTAACCCATCAGTCTTCACTACACTACCCCAACTCATCAGTTTACCACTACACTACCCCAACCCATCAGTTTACCACTACACTGCCCCAACACATCAGTCAACCACTACACTACCCCAACCCATCAGTTTTACCACTACACTACCCCAACCCATCAGTTTACCACTACACTACCCCAACCCATCAGTCAACCACTACACTACCCTAACCCATCAGTCAACCACTACACTACCCCAGCCCATCAGTTACCACTACACTACCCCAACTCATCAGTTTACCACTACACTACCCCAACCATCAGTCAACCACTACACTACCCCAACCCATCAGTTTACCACTACACTACCCCAACCCATCAGACAACCACTACACTACCCCAACCCATCAGTCTACCACTACACTACCCCAACCCATCAGTCAACCACTACACTACCCCAACCCATCAGTCTACCACTACACTACCCCAACCCATCAGTCAACCACTACACTACCCAAACCCATCAGTTTACCACTACACTACCCCAACCCATCAGTCAACCACTACACTACCCCAACTCATCAGTCAACCACTACACTACCCCAACCCATCAGTCTGCCATTAAACTACCAACCTATCAGTCAACCACTACACTACCCAAACCCATCAGTTTACCACTACACTACCCCAACCCATCGTCCCATACACTACCAACCCATCGTCAACCACTACACTACCCCAGCCCATCAGTCTACCAATTACACTACCCCAACCCATCAGTCAACCACTACACTACCCAAACCCATCAGTTTACCACTACACTACCCCAACCCATCAGTCAACCACTACACTACCCCAACCCATCAGTCAACCACTACACTACCCCAACCCATCAGTCTACCACTACATTACCCCAACCCATCAGTCTACCACTACACTACCCCAACACATTAGCCTACCACTACACTACCCCAACCCATCAGTCTACCACTACACTACCCCAACCCATCAGTCAACCACTACATTACCCCAACCCATCAGTCTACCACTACACTACCCCAACACATTAGCCTACCACTACACTACCCCATTCCATCATTCTACCACTACACTACCCCAACATATCAATCTTTTTTTTTTTTTTTTTTTAGGTTAAGGTGGGGAAAGGATGGAAGGCATGCTGGGGCTCAAGGCACAGCCAGACATGAGGGATGGAGAAGTCACAACATATAGTCGTGGGGGGAAAGGTTGGAAAAGAAGTTTAATGAGTTAAACAGAGGGGGACGACACCCCTTGTTTTACATATTACAGAGTTTGTTGGCTAACTAAGCTAACCTAGGATTTAGAATGAGGTTGCACAATGGTTATTTTAGTAGACAATGACTAGATTGATTTTACAATTACAAGTTTATTAACATCTTATACTGTATTACGTTATGGACTCGCTTGATCTAAGGTGGATCACTGTGGCGGACATAGATGGGTCGCGGGTTGGGTTGTTGTAGTGCGGGCAGACTCTGGGGCCACCAGGCGTGGGGTCTCCCTCCATTGATGTCTTCCCCGCGTAGGTGGTCTGGGCTGTGAGGGTCGTCCAGGAGCTTGTCCCAAACCTTCTTCCCTAGGCGATGGAACCTGAAGTAGAGGGCCTCTGTTTTATTTCTTAGGTGGATGGTTTCCACTGTCTCCTGGTAGGGTGGCGCTTGGCCACTGGCTGACCTCAAACACTTGTTTTGGAAGCTCTGTATTTGTTGTAGTCTAGTCTTCCCGAGTGTGACGAGTGGTATAGATGGGTACTCCAACACAGGCCTCACCAGCGCCTTGTACAGGTGAACTTGTATCTTCTCAGGCATGAATTTAAAACGTTTTAATTTGGCTGCGGCGACTTTGGCTTTATTTAGTCTGTCCTTCACGTGGGGAATGATGCCCGTCCGAGAAATGATGAGGCCGAGCAAACTGCCTTGTTTAGAGTACTCAATCTCTTCGTCGTCGATCATCAATGGGGCCGGTTTGAATTTGGCTATGGGTATGACCTCAAATTTCGTTTTGTTTGTTTTTATTTTCCATTTATTTTCATACTCCGAGATCTCCTCTATTGCCCGAGCAGTGAGTCGCGTCATCCTTGCTGTGGACCTTCCTGGGCAGGTGACGATCTGTGTTACATCGTCGGCATACATGACGTACTCGCTGCCGACGATTGGGAGTGGCAGGTCAACCGTGTAGAGCGTGTAAAGGGTTGGTGAGAGACAAGAGCCCTGAGGCACGCCGCTCGATAGTGAGAATTCTTCTCCAAAATGTTCTTGCATCTTGATTTTGGCTCTGCGGTCCATAATGAAGTTACACAGGAGGCGCGTCAGATTTTCGGGTAGCCCCAGTTGTATGATCTTATACTGCAGCCCTGCGTGCCAAACTTTGTCAAACGCTTTGCTGACGTCCCTCAGTACTATATTGCACTGCAGGCGGCCAGTCATGGCATTGGCGATCTGCTCGTAGGCCTGAGCTGTGGCGGTGGATGTGCCTTTGTACTGGCGGAAGCCGAACTGGCGGGGATTATGCACGTCTTCATCCTCCAGATACATCCGCAATCGCTTGTTGACTATATTTTCGAAGATTTTGGCAGGTACCTCTAGCAGCGATATTGGTCGAAAGTTTTCGACTTTGTTTGGAGGCTTCCCTGCTTTTGGTATGAGGCGAATAACGGCAATTTTGAACATCTTAGGGAAGTATCCAGAGGCGAGGCAGGCGTTGCATATATGAGCAAGCCTCTCTATCATGTTGTCGGGGAGATGAGCCAGGATCTTCTTGTTAATGTGACTTTGACCAGGTGATTTGTTTTTAAACCCTTTTATGACGGCTGACACATCTGCAGGAACTATGCGCTCCGTCAGGTAGCTTCCGTCAACCAGTCTCGTGAAGTCAGCCCGTGGGAGCGGCTGGAGCAGGTGCTGATGGTCCTGCAACTGACCTAAAATGTCCTCCTCAAACTCCCTGTCGAAGCCCTCGTTCTCCTGTTCACTAATGGTAAAGATCTTTCGTAAATATCGCCGATGTAGTTGTTCTTGGTTTTCTTCCTCGAATATTTTTACGTTGTTTTGGTCGAGCAGGTAAGGGACCGTGCTAGAGGTGGAACCCATCAGTCGCTTGATCCCTTTCCAGAAGGCAGCAGAATCGCGGTAATTGTTGGCTGCCTCCCACACCAAGGCGGCCCACTTTTGTTCATGTAGACGTTTGCTCTCGTGCTGGATGTCCGTCTGTAGCTCTCGGTACCGGTCTCTCAGCTCCTGCGTCCAACCGCGGATACTGGCTAGCTGTCTCACGTGAGCGTACTGGACACTGAGCTGCCTCAGCTGGTGACTAGTGTGAGGATGGGGAATGGTCCTGTAACTGGTGGTCGGGATGTTATTGTCCATCTCCGTCTTCACATCCTTATACCATTGTTCGACCGCGTCGTCGATGTCATTGGGGCTGGCTTCTTCCAGGTTTCTCCCCAGCTTGAGACTGAGAGACTCCTTGAAGGAGTCCCAGTCTGCCCGTTTGAGGTTTGACCTGATGTTGGCGGGGATCATAATGGGATTGGATGAGAGCGTCACGACGACTGGCAGGTGATCGCTGGTCCTGATGGGTCCGGCGGTAACATGCCTGTTCAGGACGGCCTCGTTGTTAGAGAGGATTATGTCGGGTGTTGTGGCACTGGCACGTCTGATCAATGTCGGGAAATCTGGCCCGAGGTGTTGCAGTTTTCCCCTTCTGATGTTGTCATACAGCGCCACACCAACGTTATTCTCATTACTGTGTCCTAGTATGGCGTGGCGCGCATTCACATCAATCTACCACTACACACCATTACAGTACACCAACACATCAGTCTACCACTGCACTAACACATTCTCCACCCGTAGGCAATTAATAACTTGTCAAATATCCCTCACTGCACACACCCCACCAATGTACCCCTGTAATGTTGTTTGGTTGGTAAGCTGGCCACTTATCTCCCCCATGCACACGCACTCCATCTTCCTCGCCCTACATACACACATACACCCTCCTTGCACAGCCGGCTCCTTCTGCCTCCACATCTCCTCATCCTCTTACCCTGAACGTACACACACATACACACCTACTTCAGCATGTAATTCCGCCCTACTTTGCTGTTGCTGTACAAGTAGTTCGTCCTTACCTTGCGGTTATTGAGGGGTTGAGGGGGGCGGAAGTTGTTGACGATGGGTTCGTTGTGGTCGCTGAGCAGGGCGCGGAAGTTATTCAGCTGGGGATAAAAATAATATAAATCAAACTTAGAAGACGAGGTACAGATACCACAGTGTGATTTAATGGTACAAATAATGTAAACGACTATATACTTTTATTGATCACATAAAACAATTACTTTTACGTATTTTTTCTATTGACTGATGGGTTAATGACTACAAAATGAGAAGCCATTAAAAGACACCATGAACATTTATGATGCCTGAATGCATTATTATTACTCTCCAAAATGCCGTTGGTCATCCGAATAATGTTGAATTACTCGTAAAAACATCCCCAAATTTGACTTAAAAGTTTGACGGGCGCGTTCGTGTCTTACGTCTTCAGTAAATCATCCTTTCCCCCTGTCCACATGATCACGGCGCCCCTATCTTTCATTCTCTCAACCATACATACCTATTATTGTTTACTAGATCACTAACATCGTCCTATCTCACACTATCTATTCTTTTACTTCAAACTCAAATCATTACTTGTGAAACATAAAACAACACCCACGAAGATACAAAAGTTTGAAAATTAAAACAAAAGGTAAAACAAAATAAATAATCTTACAAAATGTCATTAAACTCATAAAAATCGGAGGGAGATGGACAAGTCACTACACCCCCCCACCCCACATACACAGTAGAGATAAAAAATAATCCACTTCAACAACGTGTACTCATGGTCATAATGCTCTCCCTGTATGTTTAAAACCCAGATGACACTTACTTCCAACAAGCTTCCACATATCACTAAAGATCTCACACCTACATATACTGTCCTCTGCATAATATCGTCCATATACCCATCCTCAATAACTCCTTATAACTCTCTAACTTGTCACTGCAAAGCCACATTTTACATTCTTCCTTAGTTTTCTTTAGGCATAATTTCCTAATCTTCTCAACCAACCACATTTTCATCACAATATCCTCTATGTATTTATTTCCTCATGACACTCATAGACACAATTCCCAGTCCAGCATTATTCCTTCACCTATATCCCCACCCATAACCTTTCCGACAGTCAACCTGGGACAATCTCGAGGACAAAGTTACGCCCTGTCGCATCCCGTCAATATCCTTCACCACTACCGACAAGGATGGGGGGAATGTACTGCCTACCTCGTCTGGTCAACTATGAAACACACTACTCACTCTATTACTTGTCTCAAACGCATGTCCTAATCTACAAAGCCACTCTCTACTGTTCTCATGATTTTCCTCTCCATTGTCTACTCTTAGCAGAATCCACAGCCCTTTTAAATCGCTTTCCTCCGCTCTTTCTCATAGTCTGTATAATCGGTGTATAAAAAACTACAGTCCTCATTTTGTTTACCCTTCTCCCAGTTGACAATCAATACCCCTCCATAAGTTCTTCATCTTCCTCCTCCTCGCCTCTTGTTATAGAATAATCTTCACTTAAGACTCTTCTATTATCATTCCTCCTGAGCACTACACAATAAACCACCTTATAAATCACTATCTCTACTCATAACACCGTCCTATTTATAATAATACAGTACAGGATGTTTATAAAGTCCGTATTTAATTAATCAAAATGAAGGTATTTTAGCATATTCTTACAGGTGATATTTGATGATGAATGTACGAGGTGTAACGTGTTCAGCCCAGCGATTGGTCAACCTCCATCAAGGTGCTGTAGGTCCCTTGATTACGAAGTGTAATTACCGTCACACCTTGTACAGTAGCTAATACAACTATCTGTGCAGGAGGGGGCCTATATGCTCCGAAATTTTACGCGTGACTATTGAGAACCCTCACATACCAAAATTTATCGTCCATGGTCTCATATTATTTCCCACAAAGTATGCACAGATAGATGTCTTAGCTACTGTACATTCATCATCATTCACATTGGTCAACAAATTTCTACTTTTTATCTGGTTCTGAAACAAAAACACTTGTATTTGGAAAATTTAACATCTACGTGTTCCTATTCATCCTAATCTATCGTTTAATTTGTCTCAAGACCATCACAACCATATCATAACTGTATATATAATACTTGCTAATAAAAATACCCCTAATATTACATTTACTAACTGTAAATATTTGTTACTTAATTCTTTATTGAAAAATCGTACATAAAATCGTGCAGGGTGTTGGGGTGTCCGCCTCCCGCCACTGGCTGTGGCTGTGGCGTCCATGTACTAAACCCAGCTAAACCCAAACAGTCACAACTTGTGTTCTGGATTGTTAAATTCATACACACCTGGTTGTAGGTGTGTAAACACACACACACACACACACACACACACACACACACACATAATTTGCTTTCATATCAAAGTCTCGATTAAACCACTGTGCAGTATGTGAAGCAAAACCCGCCATAAAGGATAAAGAAACAACACAATATATAGATATATATATATATATATACACATACGTATATTTGTGGTTATGGAGGGAGGGAAGCTGAGCACACCGCTGCTGGACCGTCACCACCTCGTAACACCCGCTGCCCCTACACTTATCTTATCCCTGCCACTGACTTTGGCATTTACGGTATAATGTTGGCACTGTTTTAGTACACTGATGCTAAGAGTTCAATAATTTAGTTGCCTAAGCCGCTAATTAACTATCTCCTTCATTCACTGCCACGTCTTCATTAGTGTTTCACTCTCCCACTTTTTTTATTTTATTTTATTCTAATAATCCAGTGAATAAATCTAAATTAATATCAGTTCGCTTTTTACTAAGTTTAGTAACAACTGATTTCTGAACAGTCTCATTTTAAGGTCACTTCTCCCCACAAGCCAGCGTCAGTATACAGTACACCCCAACATTGCTCGTGACAGCTATAACAAGATCACCACTGGACATAAATTACTTACGCAGATAACTGTCAACCCTCGTTTGGGTGATGACAATGAAGGACTACTTGTGGCTCCTTATGTCATATCTTATACACCGACGGGGTGGACCGGGGGTCAACTGCATAATATATATCATATTATTATATCTGTAAAATATGTTTGTTTTATCACACAACCATAATAGTAACACGCATTTCTCATTAGCTGATGTCTTAATACAATGTTTTTTATTACAAGCTTCTTTTCTTTGCTGGTGAGAAAGCTAGAAATTAGGGCACCGACCATCGAAGATTTTGACCCAGACACCTCGGTGGGGTAGCCTACAGTACGTTTTCACCAAGTCGAACACACGATAATTACCTGGTTAAAATAATCGGACCGTAACTCTCATCATTATCGTCAAAGCTCTTGGGTAACAACTCCCCTGCTAAGTGTCAAGAATATAATACCACTACTTCAGTAGTTATTGCATTCATAGGTAAAGTTAGTCACGGGCAGAACGAAACGAGATAATTCCTGCAGGGGTTGACAGCTTTCCTTGAAACTGGGGTTAATAATCTTCACAAGTTCTCGGTTAAAGTCAATAACAGGTGAGATGTGAATATTCTACCCGGAGGAATAGAAGGCGTTCGGGAATATGTTGCATGCTCGAATTTTGGTGGCTGCATATACCTGGCGTTCTGTATGAGGGCTGTAGCCGGGATAGTGGGGTTGTGGGCGCCTTAGCTGACAGGTGACATACATGGCTACACACGGAGAGATGAAACGTATTGGTAAGGAATATACAAAAACCGCCTTCTTGTCTTTGTGGAAACTTTACATACATCGACATATTTTTAAAACTTCCAGTGATGTGAAGCTATAACCCACCAACACATCTACGGGAGGAGGTCACGCCACACACACACACACATAGGTCGAGGTAACGAAGTGGAGACGGAGGAGGTTACTGGTGAAAGCAGGTCAAGTTAGACGATGGGGCAAGAACCATTATTAAGTGGTCTTTGTTGAGTGCTGTTACCTCTCACGTCCACAGTACTGAGCAGATGAGATATAAAACCTGCTTGATTCTTATTGAGTATTGGTAATTGGCACACACGGGTTAATGGTCAGCTCCCCCGCTCCACACGATACAAAATACATGATAAAAATCAGTATATGAACTATCAATAATATATAATTTTTAATAACAATAAGTAACTCAGTGTTCGTAGTAGACACATACTGTATATGAACTAATCACGAGTCAATAATCAATACAAAAAAGATTCACAGTTTGCATACCTCTTTTTGGTATGACTTTGCAGAATTAATTCAATTACAATGTATCAAGTGCCAATTACACACTAGTTAATTAGGATCACCTGAAGATTAGACACCTTAGATTATTTCACCTGAAGATTAGTCACCACTCTAATGCTACCAGGGGGGGGGGTAGGTTAGGTTAATCTTCAAGTGAATTAAGATAGGGTGTCCAATCTTTAGGTGAAATAATCTAGGGTGTCTAATGTTCAAGTGAAATAATCTAGGGTGTCTAATCTTCAAGTGAAATAAGCTAGGGTGTCTAATCTTCAAGTGAAATAAGCTAGGGTGTCTAATCTTCAAGTGAAATAAGCTAGGGTGTCTAATCTTCAAGTGAAATAAGCTAGGGTGTCTAATCTTCAAGTGAAATAAGCTAGGGTGTCTAATCTTCAAGTGAAATAATCTAGGGTGTCTAATCTTCAAGTGAAATAAGCTAGGGTGTCTAATCTTCAAGTGAAATAAGCTAGGGTGTCTAATCTTCAAGTGAAATAAGCTAGGGTGTCTAATCTTCAAGTGAAATAAGCTAGGGTGTCTAATCTTCAGGTGAAAAAAGAAGCTAGGGTGTCTAATCTTCAATTGAAAAGAATCTAGGGGTGTCCTAATCTTCAAGTGAAATAGGCGAGGGTGTCTAATCTTCAAGTGAAATAAGCTAGGTTGTCTGACTCTTCAGGTGAAAGAAAGCTAGGTTGTCTAATCTTCAAAGGTGAAAAGAAGAAGCTAGGGTGTCTAATCTTCAGGTAGAAGAAGCTAGGGTGTCTAATTTTTCAAGTGAAATAAGCGGGGTGTCTAATCTTCAAGTGAAATAAGCTAGGTTGTCTAATCTTCCAGAGTGAAAAGAAGCTAGGGGTGTCTAATCTTCGAATTGAAA